ATAAATAATGTGTGTTTGTCCTGCACACACACATGTGTAATCTTATGGTTATAGATTCTTGAGTGAGATTCATTTTTTCTTTTGTCTAAAACCCAGATTGAGGGCCAGGTTTCCTTGCCTTTCTGCATGGCAGGTTTGCTTCTTGCCTTGCACAGTGGTTTCCTTTTAGGCTACCTCCTGGAGAGTTTTGTTTCCTGTCTCCCGTGGCTCTCGGAATAGAAGTTCAGGGTCACTAATGTTGAGCAGGTGCCCCAGGGCAGGTACTAGCTACAGCGTCAGCTCACCTATCTGAATTTCTGGCCTCAGAAGATTTGATTCTTTACCTCATTGCCAGCTCAGCGATGCATTTAGAAATATTTTAAAAACGTTTTATTCAGCATTTTTAGTTGTTTATAGTGACAGTTATTGAGGAGACTGAGGACTGTTGTCTCTCTTTTGGTTTTCTTTATAGTGTGCGTTTTTTCCTTTCTTGCATCTTCAACCCATCAGGGAGAGAGCATGGTTCAGTGAGCCGCGTCCCGCATGCGGCCGTTCTTTTCCTCTCAGAGACTGCGGTGGGTTTTCTAGAGCCAAGTGGGTCTAGGACTTCCTCTCCTGGTCCCTGAAGGAGGAGACATTTCTACTTCCTTAAAGGCCCAGCCTCACCAGAGGCCAAGTCTCCCCCTTTCTATGTCTATAGCAGAGCTAAGTTCACTACCTTCTTTTGCTCATGGCTTGTCAGCTTTGAGATGTGGGTTAACGGTCTCTTCAGTCTCCCCATAATCACTTTTTTTCTGACTTCCTTCGAGAATATCTTCTCTCCTTGTACCCAGTTAACCAAGAGGATAGAAAACGTGTCCTTAAGCCTTTCTTTCATCTTCTCCTAGGCCAGCTTGCTTTTGCAGCCCAGGTTGGAAGAACAAAGGGAGCATGCCCTACGGATCAGTGCAGCCTGTAACCCCAAGGTCTCAAGTTCAGTGCGGCCTTTGTGACTGCCCCTGGAAATGCCCCTGAGCAGCCCCTTGCTAGCTAAGTCCGGGGCTTGCCTGTCTGGGGCTGGGCCCCAGAGAAGCCCAGATGCCTGGGCAACTTCCCTCCCTCTGCAGGAAGCCTCTGTTAATTATCACCCACAGGAAACAGAATAGGAGGCACAAAAACAGTAATTCGCAGGGGATTTAGGGAGGAAATGGTTCCCTTAGGAAAGTTTGTCATAACCTCTCATGGAAGTTTTGTAATGACCATTCCCCCAGCCCCAAATCAGTGAGCCTCTGCTTCTGAGGAGTGTGCAGGAAAACGGTGAGAACCACTGATCTGGAGCTGGCCATCTAGTAAGGTGACCGCTAGCCACATGTGGTTATTGAACTCTTGAAATATGGCTACTAAAATACTGGCTTTCAAAGGTTTAATACCAAAAAAGGGGCAGAAAGTATCTCAATATTTTTATATCAGTTACATGTTAAAATAATATTTTGGGGCCATTCCTGTAATGGCTGCTTCCTGGAAGGTAGTGTTGTCATGTGGAGCCTCTTAGCCTCTGTATCTGGAGCTCTAAGAAGGGAATCTTTCAAATAAGATAGGATGGTATGTATGTATGTATGTGTGTGTGTGTGTGTATGTGTGTGTATGTGTGTGTGTGTGTATATATATATACATATATATACACACACACACACACACACCATTTCTCAGAACCTTCAGCCCTCAAGATCCCAACCCCATGAGCTCAGTTTCGACACAGTTGGTCTTAGTGTTTGTGGAAGCTGGAGATGCCATTGCGCTCTTGTTAGGGTCGGTCCTCAACATCACAGGCATTTGTGCTTGCTTAGGTGTATGTGCATGAGAGAGAAATGGACAGATATGACTTGGAAGGGCCTTCTGAATCAAGCTTCGCCCTGAAAACCTTTGTGCAGCTGAGGCTAAACTTGAGCATTGATGTCTGAGTTTCCCCAAATGGTATAGGGTAGCCACATTCTTAGCTGTTTCCCATAAAATGCGTACAAGTTGATGTCTCAGTGGGGGAAAAAAATGTGTGTGTGTGTGTGTGTGTGTGTTTAACAACAAATAATGCACTTAAAAATGTAGCCTATAGGGGACCAGCAGGTGGCATGGTGGTTAAGGTACTGGACACTCCCACATGGCTGACCAGGGTTCGAGTCCTGGATCTGGTGGCTTGCTTTCTCACTTCCTCTCTCTTTCACTCTCACCCTCTGTGTCTCTCTGGTCAAATTAAAAATTAAATGAACGAATAAATAAAATAAAATAAATAATTATTTTTTAAAAAATAATGCAGCCTATAATTTGTGTTTGCTGGTTAGAAAGGTCAAAGAAGTAAGATGGCTAAAACTTACATAAGTAATATTTTGTACTTTTACTACTGTCAAGCACGTGCAATAAGGAAGTTCTTGTCCAGAATCCAGGGAAGTCTCCGACTGTCCAGTTATAATCACTGCCTCCTGAACCAATGAGAAGTCTTCATATTTTTATTGGATTTTTGTTTTGTTATCTCACGAGTTAATAATGTACTTAGGTATCAGCTGGCTAAAAATGAAAACTTTTGTCTCTGCAGGACAAAAGTTTTGAAAATGTATCTAATGTATCCAATATGAAAATGGAGAAGAGATTTAATTAAAAAAACTATATTAACATTAAAATGGAAAAGAGATTTTAATATAAAAAAACTTCTATATTAATTAGGTTACATTCCCATGGTGAGAAGTACTATATTAAATACAAACCCATTATGTTGTAAAACATAATAGGGACCAGCAGTTAGCATAATGGCTATGTCACTGGACTCCCATGTAGTCAACTGCAGTTCTTGTCCTGGAACCGGTGGCTTAAAACTCACGCCGGGCGTGTGTGTGTGTGTGTGTGTGCCCAAGATCCCGAGAGGAGAATGGAGGAGAAGGGACAGCAGCGTGGCCATCCCCCCGGGGGGTGATTTATCGCTTTCTGTCTCTCAGTCTGTCTCTGCCTGTCTGGCGAGCGCATGCGCCCTATAGCAAAAAAACTCTCCAAAATAATAATAATAATAATAATAATATTTTGGGGCCAGCCAGTGGTTAAGGTGGCTAGATCCCACGTAACTGACTGCCCAGTTTGAGTCCTCAACCCAGTGACTTGAAACACATGCCAGCTGTGTGTGTGTGCCTACATGCCCAAAATCCCGAATGGCAGCTTCTTGGATGAGAACTTGGGCATTCTACTCACCTGCTCTGACTCTCAACTTCCTGCCTGGACAAGCCATGTCAGATATTATAGATGATTTCCTCTGTGCCCATTATCCCCCTGGCATTAACTTCATCCTCAGAACGTTTTCAACTAATACCCTCTTTGCCATTATCTTGAGTGTTCCAAAAGTAAATTATTATTTAAATATATTTTCTTTTTTAAAAAAATTTACTGATTTAATTAATTAATATTTTAAAAATTTGCTATAGGGCACATGTGTTCGCCAGAGAGAGAGAGAGGGAGAGAGACAGAGACAGAGAGACACAGAGAGAGAGAAAGTGAGAAAGCCAGCCACTAGGTCAAGGACTCAAATTGTGGTTGGCCATGTGGGAGTCTGGTGCCTTAACCATTATGCCACCTGCTGGCCCCTAAATTTATTTTCTAACTAACATAAATTCATTCCTAATTTATAAACTTCAAAGAAGAGGCCATGCTCACAGACAACATTTTCTCAGCACCTCTGTACTATAAATAACTCTCCTTTTCCACCTGAGCACAACTGAAAGGTATGGGGTTTGGGTTTGGAACACGCAGTCTGGGGGAGTCCCGGCCCTCCTGCTTTGTATTGTATGACTTTGCAAATTACATGGCCCGCCCCTGAACCAAACTCTGCCTCAGTGGGGAGAATAAGAGTATCTATCTTAAGCTTTGTGCAAGGACTAAATTAATGAATATACATCAGGTGCTAACAGATATTTGACACACATTCATGTTTGCTATTATTAGTATTGATTTTTTTTTTGATAGAGAGATTTTGCTATAAGGCACATGTGCTCACCAGAGAGAGAGAGACAGAAAGCAAGAAATCACTCCCCAGGGAGATGGCCACGCTGCAATCTTTATCCTCCATTCTCCTCTTAGGATTTTGGGCACAGGCACATGTGCTAGTTTTTAAGCCACTGGGTCCAGGACTTGAACTGCAGTCGACTATGCGGGAGTCCGGTGACGTAACTATTACACCATCTGCTGGTCCCGGTATTATTATTTTTTTTTTTTTTACAGAATAAGGTTATGCTCTAAATTCTATTTTGAAGCCTGCTGTTCAAAGTCAATAATTCCTCTAGCATACCTTTATTTTATAGCATCATTTTTAAGGTTACATAGTGTCCTTCCCTATGGGTATACCGTATCTGATTTAACTGATCTCCTGTTATAAAATTTTTTAAGTCCTTCCTTCGTGTTTCTTTCTTCTGCTACTGTAAACAATGCTGTAATGAACATCTGTGCAGCTAAATCTTTCCCCACATTTTTGAGCATTTCTTTCAAATGAATTCAAAGAAAAATGAAACCTATTTACATTACAAAAGTATTAGTCACAGTGCCAAATTCTTCATGTTTACCAGAATTGCGTGTTTCAGCTCCTGCCTGCAAGAGTAGCTGTCAGGGACAAGTGCTGCCAGTTTTTACTCTCCTGCCACCCAGAAGGCACAGTTCCCAGTCTCCGTGCTTATGCAGTACTTCCGGCCCTCTGTCTTCCCCGGACCCTCCTCTTTCAAGCCGTTCTCTGAGCCTGCCTAGGGGATTGAGTGCTCTTCCCTAAGGGCTGTATTAATTTCTTTCTATACTTTTTCATCAGTTACACTATTTACTTTCAAATTTAATCCTATATTATTGCTTCATAATTTCTTCTGCTGAAATGCGAGAATAATTAGCATGGGGAAAAGGAAGATGTAATTATTCTACTTGAATCCAATTCTCTCCTGATGTAATCCCATGGTGTCTTTTCTGAAGTTTACTCTTTTTTCAGAGGCCAGCGCATTCTCTCTGATGCATGTTCTTAACTGTTTCAGCCGCAGTAAGGAACCACTGGCCAGAAAGTCACACTGACCCCCACGTAGAAAACATCACCTTCTATCAGAATCAAGAGGACTTTTCAGAAGCGGCCTCCAAAGAGGATGTGATGTTTCCGATCTCTAGAAAGAACCCCACTTCTTCAGGTGCCCCAGAAAACCTTACTCAGCTAACTGAAACAGCAACTGCGGGAGGAAGGACTGACTCTTCAAGCAGAATAAACTCTACCGGTTTGCCCAGCGGACACTCTCCTGAGACAGCCACAGCTCTGACTTCCCCGAGCAGCAGCTCAGGTGAGCTTGAGTTGCGACGCTCCCTTCATTCATGTGGATCCAGTCTTGAAGGACAAAGGGCTCGCCATCCCCTGCCCCCATTCTGAGCCACTGTGCCGTCCAAGGATAGACCAGGGTGGACCAGACCTGTGTTTTAGGCCCCATGTGTGGTATGCTTGTAAGTACCCACCAGACCTGGGGGCAGCTCTGCTGAGCCACCTGGCCATCTCAGAGGCACCAGGTCTCGGGGGATGCACGGCAGGGAAAGAAAACCGGCCAGCGCTGTGTTGCGTTGATGTGACTCAAAGATTGTTCTTGCTCTGATCTGCACAGCTTGGCAGTTTGCTCATTTCAGCAAAGGACTTCAAGCAGGGGCTGGGGCTGTGTGGGTAAGATGTGACTGAGGAAGAGAAGGAAAGGAAAGCAGCACTGGTGAGGTACCTGCTGTACGCCAGCATGTCTGTGCTCTTGGTCCTTGCGGCAAGCCATGAGGTCATTTCGTTCTCATTTTAGGGATTTGGAAACAGAAAGGCAGCGAGGTTAATGAACTGCCTAACTCAAACAGCAGGTGTCAGAGCTGGGATGTGAGCCTAGGCCTGTGTATCTGAGGGAGGTGGCCGGGGTGACTGAGGGGCTGAACGCCTGGACCATGTGAATGAAGGGACAGAGGAGGGAAAAACCAGTGTGGCCCTTTGGTGAAGTGGCAAGGCCAGCAGCCTCCTGGAGAGGGCATAAGTTGTTCACCGAGCAGAAGGGGCGGGGCTCGGGACACCAGGCAGTTTAGATTTGCTGTGACGGGAAAAGCCCTTGACGGTGTTTGGACCAGAGAGTGATGTGACTAAGGTGAATTTGAGGAGAATTCACCAGGTGGCAGGTACATGATGACATGGGGTGGGAGGATGGGGGGAACCTGACCACTAGGGAGACCTCGAAATCCAGACACCGGGTGCCAAGATAGGGCCTGGTGGCCACAGGGATGCAGAGGAAGGATCGGGAAAGAGAGTTCACAACACAAAGTTGATAGGACGTGGTGATGACCTGCAGTAGGGGATGACACCCTCAGGGGACTCCCTGGTGTGGATGGAGGGACTCCGTTCTGTGACAGAGATGTATAAAAGTACTTGGTGTTCCATCTGTGAATGGCGGCTTCCGCTTAGAAACTCTGCACCCCCTGCTGCCTGGTTGTGGTGGGCACCAGATGTTGGAAAGTTTATGTTAAATTCAGGTAAACGCTGGGACCTGCTTTGTGCCGTGTGAGTGATGGGTCACAATGATTGGACTCTGACCTCTGTTTCTATACTGTCTGAGACTCAGCTCCGCTGTGCCCTTTTGTGATCATTTTACCACAGAATGCCAAGATTTCATGAGGTATAAAAACAGTGATTGTTTGGGACCAGCAGTTAGCGTAATGGCTATGTCGCTGGACTTCCACGTAGTCGACCGCGGTTCGTGTCCCGTACCTGGTGGCTTAAAACTCACGCCGGGCGCGTGTGCATGTGTGCCCAAGATCCTGAGAGGAGAATGGAGGAGAAGGGATTGCAGCGTGGCCATCCCCCCTGGGGGGTGATTTCTCACTTTCTGTCTCTCTGTCTCTCTCTCTTTCTGGCAAGCACACATGTCCTATAGCAAAAACCTCTCAAAACAACAACAACAAAAAAACCCACAATGTTTGTCTGTCTGTGGTCTCTCTTTTAGAAGTCCATTTCCCTTTTTATTTTTTTTCTTTTAGGTTTTGCCATAGGACACGTGCACTCACTGGAGAGAGACAGAGAGAGAGAGATAAAATGAGAAATCACACCCCAGGGGGAATGGCCACGCCACAGTCCCTTCTCCTCCATTCTCCTCTTGGGATTTTGGGCACGCACGCACAAGCACCCAGTGCGATTTTAAGACACCAGTTCTGGGACTCAAGCTGTGTGTGATTGGCTGTGTGGGAATCCAGTACTTTAAGCACCTGTTGGCTCCCAGGAGTCCATTTTTCTTAGAATGAACTGTTACTTCTAATTTCTTCTCACATCTATAAATTTTGGAGACATTAGTGTTGAGCTCACTGAATGACAGTAAGACACGGGGAAGTGTGTATGGGGTTCATCGTTGCTATCTGCTTTCAGCCTCGGGAAGATTTCATCTGCCATCCAGCAGTTCAGAGTCCGAAGAAAGAATAGCCCCTTCTCAGATGGAGAGTGGAGCATCCCCGGCATCCCAGGGCTCACTGGAGAAGGGGCAGGGGCTTTCAGAAGTGACTGTGCACACCCACGTGGCTGCTGCTGTGGTCTCGAGCCAGTCCTCTCTGCCTGCTCTGGAGACGGGAGAACTAGCCACGCTGTCCAGGACGAGAACGTCAGTCCCAGAGCTCTCCAGGACACCAGCTTACTCTCCTCCGTCAGACCATTCTTCATGTGAGTGCTCCTGTCCCAGGCGTAACCTCCCACACCAGTGCCAGGAACACAGGCGGATGGGTGGAGCTGTCTGGTGATGTACTCGTAGCAGGGAGTAAGGGGAAAGACGCTAAAATGCCTTCCTCTAAGGCCAAGTATTTGGGGTAGAAGTACCACTTACAGCTTATCTCAGTATTGAAGTGTGTGTTTAAACAAATCTTTCCTTAATATGGAGGGAAATAATAGTTTGTCTGTGGCTATTCTAGGCCTTTCTATTCACCATCCCCTACTCTCCCTGCACAGTCTCCCCCACTAACCATAAACATACATACACGAAGACCGAGTGATACAGGTACGTATTCTTACACAGGAAGCCACATGCTGGGTATGTGAAATGGTGAGCATCGTACCATTTGATTAGGAGTTAGATTTTATTTTTTCATTATTGCAAAAATGGTTTCTTCAGTGGCAAAGAAAGCGTGAGTATGCATTTTTCTAGGCACCGTTTTGAAAACAAAAACGCACTGCAGGTGTTTGCAAGCATGATATTAGTACCTGCAGCCATGGAGTACTCCCCTCTCTGGCATTCTAATTCCTGCTCATGAATTAGATCTCAGCTCAGATAGTTCATTCCCATGAGCTAATGTTCAACTCGGTGGTCCTCTGTGCCACCCACCATGTTGTACCAGGTCATCCGATGATTATCCACCTAGAGAGATTGTAATTGTATGTTGAAGGCACAGGCTTCTCCTAGGTGTCCAACCACCCCCAAACAGGTGCAGCTGACCTTGAAGTAGGGCTTAGCTTATGCCCAAATATCCTTACATGACACATCCTGACGTAGGCCCTTCTTTCCTCTTCTCTGGTGTTTTATTGAGTCTGTGTGTGTGGCTTGTATTTTATCTCTTGCCATAGGGAGTAGGACAAGAAAGCTGGCAATATGCTTGGGGAATAGAGGTTAGATTACTTTAGAAATTGCTGTTGCAAAATTTTTATAGATCAGAGGTTTTTGGAAGTACTTTGCAAGACTAGGAGTCTGGGTTTATGTCATCAAAGCAGAAAGTGAACCCAGAGGTCCTTTCTGGAATGCTTAAAGAAGCCAATTCCTCTAATATATCT